AGCGCTCATTTCTGGCAGGTTTTTACTGTCAGAGTTTCTCCTATTATATTTATCTTACAATTTGCCAGGGGGTGAAGTTATTAAGTTTTAGCAGCAGCCATCGATCAAGTTCACAAGTTAACACGATAAAGGCTCTGTGCCGCTCCGATCCGGGAAAATGATGATCCTCACTCGGTAATTAACTAAATGAGAAAGTTAAATCTTACTTGAGAGCTGGGAGAGATGAAAGAGAGGTGTTTGTCAGTTTCTCAGTGGAAATTAGAAGCAGTTTTCTGCAATTCCCTAAGCTGCTGCTCTGTCATATTTTACATAAGCACTGGGAAAACGTCTTGTAATTAGTGCTGTCATGGAGGATTTTTTTTGCTGAAGGATGTTGGAATAATTCATTAGATTATCAAGAAAGGCTTGTGTCCTGAAATGATTAGCACAGTGAAATTTAAACCATTAACGATAACAAGTTTAGAGCTTGCTGCAGTGCAGAGGCACCCGGGGTATGTCTGTGCCTATTTCAATCATTTCTTATAATTAAACATTATGTCCTCTTTTTTCCTCCCCTTCACTAAGACCCATCCAAAATTCCTGTTAAGGTGGCTCTGTCGAGATCAGTGACTTAACCACGACTGGCAGTGCAAGCAGTTGGAGGTGAAATGCTGCAGTTGCAGATAAGCAGTAGAAGACATCTCTCTGTGTCAGACCCTGTAGTCCCAGTGAGTCCAGGAGGGAGGGGAGAAGCCCAGTATGACCTGTTGGTACTGGAACGTCAAAGGGAAGTCCCTTCCTTTTGTCTAGAGAGAAACTAAGGAATTTGCAGTGGTGGTCTAGGCTCTTGGTCTTTTCAGAGCTCTAGTATGAAGATGTCTTTGAAGGTTCAGAAGGTCCCAAACCTTGCTGGGATCATTTAAACCGTTCTGAATCTTCTAGGAGACAGCTTCTCTTTTTCTTTGACTTTAAGAGACATCTTCTTACCTTAAGAAACGTATAATCTGAATTCATCCATCCTGTGGAGTGTGCCTTAACAAAGCCCCCTGCAATGATTAGAGGACATGGTGGGGTTTTTCAAAAATATATAAAAGTTGTGACCACTCATATGGGTGGGGAAACACTATACCTATACTAGAATTGGAGAACTGTGCTTGTGTTTGGTTTTTCTGTGCTTTAGGAGGCTCCTTGGTCCCCTGTACTGAACAAAACCAAAAGTAACCTTGGATGTCATACATGGGTTACAGCTGTGATATACCATGGCTGTTCTGTTTTATATGCAGAGCAGTAGATTTATCCAGGCTTTATTTATCTGTGTTGAAATATTGCACCTTCCTATAGTTTCAAGCCATTATTTAGATTAAAGTCCTTTCATATATTAGTCCTCTTCTACTTCACTGGGCATACAAATGTGCTTTGTGTTAAATGTAGCCATTTGGGGAAATGGTCTTGTAATTACGGGCTGCAATGGAGCATAGTACGTAGATCCCTGAGCTAGTACCAACCTGAGGCACTCAGTCCCCTGGGTTTCCTGGCACAGCTTACTCGCTGAGGCACACCATTGTAGGGGGACATCTCTGCTGTTCCTCCAGATGGGTTGTTGTGCCTAGAGCCAGCCGGGGTACCTCTCAACCCTCACTTACAGGGGTTAGTGAAAAGGGAGTCAGGAAAGCTTTATCTGTTTGGAGTTGGTAGTTTGTTATAGCCAAACTTCCTCCCAGGTGATGAACTACCAGTGCTTTTTCTTCTTTGCCACTTTTGGAAGTGAAGCTTATAAAAAGCATGACCGTATACAGTGCATTTGGGTGGATATTTACCCTAGCAGTATGGATGGCATGTGGGACAGTTCATTCTTTTTCAGGTGAGGCCTGGTTATTGTACCAGGAGAGGAAAGAGGCTGTAAACAATTGTGTGCTTCAGGAAATAGTTGCTGTTATTGTTCTGAGGTGGATTGTTGTGAACTGGAGGCAGTTGATCAGAATGGTTCAGTCATCAGGGTTTCTCAGGAAACCAAATCGATTCTCTTGATGATAGTAATCGCCCCCCACCTCCCCCAATGCTTTAATAATACAGATGCTTGATGTTGTTGTTTTGTTGTTGCTTTTTTTAATAACAGGCCTTTTTCACTGAACCTCCAGTGGATTTTCAGGAATCTTCAAACTGAAATTCTGGAATTTTGTTCTAAGCTGTAGCTACAGGTGTTCTGGGGGAGACATGTGAGTGTGTATTGCAATTGAGTAATTTGGGAGCCCTGTGAGTTCGCCTGTCTCTACTCTGCAGAACTGGCATGTTCATGGCTTGCCCTGTCCTCCTGGTCCCCTGCTTGCATAGACCACAGGACCTGCTGGGCACACCATGGCACCATGGCTACCTCTGGGCTTGTCCTTGCTCCTTTTGATGGGAAACCAGAGCAGGAAAGGGTGCAAACCAGGTCTCAGGTTGACATTGTCAGAATGCGGCTAAAGTACATGCATGAACGTAAAAAATACAATGTTCCCCTGTCCACTAATTTGCATATAAATACTGGAACATGTATAGTGCTTTTCTTAGCAGAATCACTATATAAACCTGGAGTTTGACTTCCAGAGCTGTTCTAAGTGTTGGTCAATGGTCCAATTTACTCATTATTCCCACCCAAGAGGCCTGTATTCACTTGGGATCCAGGCAGAATGGCTTGTTTTGTCCCATCTAAGCCATCTGTTTGTACACATATAAGCCATTACTTGTTTTTGCAGATGTTGCAACTTCTGTTTGATACCCCAAACCGATGTTTTAGAGGTAATTGGGGAGCTGAAGGCTGCTGGGAGACAGGTGCTTAGGAGGCAAGGAAAGGCCAGAACGTGGTGCCTCCCCATGAAAAGAGTTGCCCCATTTGTGGTCTTTGCACATCAGCTGTCTACTCTGCTCCAGCTCAGCATATTAGTCAGACTTCACAGTCTCTCAAATTAAAAGGCAGAGGTATAGATTTTTAAAAAATGCTTTGTAGAGACAGCCTGTTGTGAGATGCACAGCAAACAAAGTGAGAAATGAAATGAGGTCAAGGTTGTAGAATACATCTCTCCGTTGTCTTAATCCAGCATTTTTACGTGGGTATCTCTTTTACAGGCAGCTTAACTGCAGCAAAAATGACCGGGATCCCTTAAGCCCAATGTTCAGTGCAGTCCATTGGTAATCATTTTTTGCCAGGCTGTTGCCCACTGTGGACTTTGCTAGGAAAAGTCCAACTTTTCACACATAAGACTTCGTGCCCACAGTCCCTTTAGAGATGTCTCTGTCTAAAAAGTTGACCCAAGAGAGAGGATTCTTTCCTGCTGCCCAGTACTGACTCTATGACTCGCTCGCAGTCAGTGCTGTCCATGCGATGACTAAATGAAAGTGTAGCTCAGTCATAGCCCTTGTCTTGCATGATCTTACTGAACACATACAGAAATTCGCAGGGAGGAGAGAGGATAAAAATAAAGTTGAAAACATTAAGCTGCAGAATTGAGCACTGATGGTGTGATCTCCATGTTCTATGTTCTCAAAGAAACTTAAGTCAAACTATAATTCAGAAATACAAGAAACTATTTGTTAGAAATCACAGCTAATTACTGTCTTTTCTACCAGAGGAAAGTCTGTCCAGCTCTGCTGGAAATGCTGAGAAGAGTATTTAGGTGGATTTTCTCTAGAAAATGAAATGTACATGGTGATTAGTTGAGTAGATTTTCAAATTATGAGGTTTTTGGTGTTCCGAAGTCAGAATTGCTGTGTCGGGGTTGACGGAGTATTGAAGTAAAGGAATGAATTACTCCTGAGAAATGAGAAATTCCTGCATTCCAAACCCAGTTTTAGTAACTAGATTTTGTGGTCTCTAAATAACCCACTGTTTTGGCACTTGCTGAAAAAAGGCTTTTTTGTTGTTTTTTCTTCTCCTGTAAAATCAGTTAATCCATGCATTTCTTTTAGATCGTTAGATATCTTAGCAGAGAGATTTAAGTACTTGTTTTTTCCCTTGAAGTTAATACAGTTTTCTGGTGAGGCTGATGCCTGGAATTATCGTCATAGAACAGAAATATGGCATCCCTACATCAAAGTTTTATATATTCTGATATCTGAAGTTTGTTTTTAATTATTTGATAAACAGTAGAGAACCTCTAAATGTATTTTGAAAATAAAAATGATGTAATAATATTGACTGTTATTATAAAGCTGTCTGGTGTTAAACCATTGCAGTGAAAGAGAGACACTCACACGTTTTTACCACTTAATATGAACTATTGGACCAGTATGGGAAAAAATAATTTCCCAGCAAACAGTTAATCTTACTTGGACAAAGGATATCCTTGCAATGTGCACTTTTCTTCCAGTTAGATCATTTAGAAAGCAGAAATTATATCTTGCTATCAAGTAGCAAATTGAAATGTCAGTGTTTTGTTTTGTCCCCGAAACTCGTCTTTGAACTGAGTCCTTCTGACAAGATATTAACAGTGCTCAGAAAGTTGAGAATCTTTTATTCTGTGAAAGAAGTATGTATCAAATATCAGGGTGTGTTTCAGCTGGCTTTGCTCTCGAGGTATAATTTTATACTTAGAAGAAGTACTATCAATTTTTTTCTTACCCATTTCATGCATTCCCTATGAATTTTAGCAGCAGTCCATTCTTTAGGAAATAATACAAATGCAGTTTTCTGTTGGTGAATTGAAGTAACTGGTAAGTGTAGATGAGGAATCGAAATGCATTTTACTGTCTGCATGATGTAAATAAAATTGCGTGTATGCTAAATTGCCACTCAAGATTTCCCATCTCACCAGATTCCTTTGTGTGCAGCTCTGGCATGAGCCAGTACATTGTCCTGCAGGGGTTACAGCTTGCCGTGGCTGTGCTCTGACTGACTGCACCAAATGGGGTACATGGTCTCAGCCAACTTTATGTATCAGAGTGCTTTTTTCCTCCTATTTTCTTCCCCTAAAAAAAATTATAAAACCACTTGAGCTTCTTTTCATATGTGTGATTTGGGTTGTTTCTCTCCTTCCTGTTTACAGACAAAACTTGCCAATGGCACTTCCAGTATGATTGTGCCCAAGCAAAGAAAACTCTCTGCAAGCTATGAGAAGGAGAAGGAACTCTGCGTCAAGTATTTTGAACAGTGGTCCGAGTCTGACCAGGTGGAGTTTGTGGAGCATCTCATCTCCCAGATGTGTCACTACCAGCACGGACATATAAACTCATACCTCAAACCCATGTTGCAGCGGGACTTCATCACTGCACTGCCAGGTATTTCTGCAGGCAGAGGGAACTTGCTCCTCCATCTTGTCTTTCAGAAAACTATTCCACTGTGACCCACCTTGCTGAGGAGGTCTCTTCTAGGGTCAGTTTGCAACATAGATGATAGCTTTTGAATGAAAAGCTCTATACCAGTATGAAATGTGGTAGTATTTTATTTTATGTTCCTACCGTCTCTCAAGGCATGATCTAATACCACCATGATTTGGCTAGGAGTAAATGATAGCTCGTATATGTATCATAAGTATAGTCATTACAAGCCACAGGGCAGGTAGTTGTACTCATAATGCACACAACAATGCATGAATCACAAAAATTTTTAAAATTACTGCTCTTTCTGGTTGCTCAGCTGAGGTTTTCCCTTTTCTTACTTAGACTTTTTTGTCTCTCTTTCCTAGTAAAATACCTTCCTGAAGCCATCACTTTGATTAAGTGTTTATTGCTAATAGAGAATGGAGGACATAAGATCAAAGGATGGAAATGTCCTATTTTTTGCACTGCTGTAGTGCTTTCCATTGAGAATATTATCCCAGCTGTTCTCAGATGTGGCATTGGGTGTATCTCACAGAATGCACACGTAAAGTAGTGTATGTGCAGTTTTGTATTGGCCCTGTCTTATAGATGGGAAAACTGAGGCAGTGGGAAATAAAACATATACAGCAATAGAGTTTCAGAACCAGACAGAAATTCCTGACTCTTTGGTCTTTTTTCGGACTATTGGATCGTACCTCTGTAAATAGATAGATAGATAGTTAATAGATTAGCATTCCCATGGCATATGTCCTTAGTTTGAGATGGACCTGAGCAAGAAGTGCTACAGGTGTTGTCTCTAAATGATGGAAGAGATGAGTTTCTTGCCAAAAGTTTGTTCTGTGGATACCTTTGGAGAACTGCTGAACTTGAACAATTTGTTCAATCCAGTCATTTGATCATTCTTCAGAAGAAATTTCTCAACATGAAATTTAAGTTCTACCGTTAAAAGACAGAAAAAAGCATCTTTAACTGTGATTTGTGCAAAGCATAAAGGCACTGCAGGAGTTTTGCTATGAAGTTAAATCTGTAGACTCACTGGATTTTTAGGCTCGTTGTGCCCAGTAATCAAATGGCTGTTGCAGCATTAAAAAACAAAATCTTAGTTATGCTAAGTACCTGCTTTGTGTTAGTTTTTAGTAGTCCAGTGGCAATAATCTCACATACTTAGAGCAGCATTATAACTTGTGGAGCTGTTCTGTTTCAGAAAAATAGCGAGTATTTTGAAAGTGCATTGGTTTCCTCACTTTTAAAGTGGAAGTATACTTACAGTTACATACACAATTTTTCCAGGTCTCTCTACAAAATTCCATCAAAGCAAGCCAACATATCTCATTTACACTTGTTTAATTTAATCCTACAGGCCTTTTTCTGAAAATTTTGGGCAAATGTTACAAGTATTTTCAGAGGCATTCAAAATTTCCTAGCCATACCATATTTTTTAGTGGTCTTTTCACAGTTACCCAGAAAGCAGCTAATTTTACTATCTCAGAATGCAGAACAACTAGGAATCAGGCAGCTAATATGTGAGTATTTGAATAGTTGTGGGAACTGTGTGTTTAAATAATGTATGTGCATCGATCTGCATATTTGCAAAGTGCTAATGTCCTAGTGAATATAGCTCTAAGGGAGAAAATTGATGGCAAGGAATTACACTGACACAGACTCTGCAGTCTGTGCAGGATGTCCTGAGTATAGGCAGGTTTCTAATGAGGGGAATGGGAAAGGGGAATGTAAGAAACTACCTAGGAAAGAGAGATGAACCTAAAATTTTAAAATAAGTCGCATAAAAAAAACTTGAACTCTTTAAGTATTTTTTAGCTTTCTGAAATTCTCAGGTTTTCTGGTTTCATTTTTACTCCTTCGTTCTCTCTCCTGCTCTCCCCCTCAAGTGAATAAAACAATAAAGCTACTTCAAAATCATGAGGCATCTTATCTCTGTCCTCCTAGCACTGTCCCAAAGAATGACCAGAATTAAAGGCAGTTTTAGATCATGAGCACGTTTTACTAATACAGAGTAAAATTGGCTCAGATTATTTTTCCAGTACTTTGAACAGAATTAAGGTTGTTAGAAAAATACAGCTTAACTGTGTACTTAACAAACTTTGTTCTGTTTCTGAAAAATAAGGTCTTTGCTCAGGATTTCCAAGCTGTTCAACATTTTTTATGAGGAAAGTCATTTTTATAAGGATTTCATGTGTGAAATAACTGAAACATTCTTGTTGGTATGGAGGGCTGAAGGGCTAATCGTGTTTCACATAAATTTAGCAAAAACTTTTGTGAGCCGAGATTTCTCATTTTTAAGGAAGAGATGCTTTGTTAGATATATGTTTCAGTGAGTTGTACTGTTCCTAAGAAAGAAAATAATAAAACTTTGCAGACAGACCAAAATAGCTCTGCCCATCCAGTTATCATAAATGTAAGGTAGACAGACCAAAACATTAGTATTCCTTGTCTGCAAAGAGCCTAGGGTCAATGGCAAGGGGTGACTTATGGTCATGGAAGTAGTTACAACACCTCATTGCGACAAGACCTAAAGTGCAATTACTGATGATCCAGGCAGGGCAGGTGGGTCACAGGCAGACTTGTGGGTGAAGATGACTGTGCCCAGCTTATGCAGTGTAACCCTGCTTCCTAAAGCCACTGATAGTTCCCCGTATGAAATAATTTCTTGCTGTACCACCGCTGACATAAAGCTACCGGTATGGATACTACACAGGGAGGCATTTGTAAATGTCCTGGTGGGTCTGTAAATGTCTGTGGGCCCACTGGAAGCAACACAGACTGGGAAAGCAAACAGGGCATTTCCACCCAGTGGAGAGAGCTCAGGGCTGCAGGTGTCAGGGTGGGGAAGCAGGGGGACACGATGTCCATGTCTGCCCTACCAAATTGCAGAATTCCTGCAAATTCCAGTTCACATTCACTAAAACATTGTGTCTCTTTCAACGAAGTACTATAGAGTCAATCTAAATTTACAAACACTCTTTTTTTTCTTTTTTTAAAGAATTTTATATGGTGGCTGTATATATCTTTTCAGATTAAATACATAATAAAGGCTGCTGATGCTTTTATTTTGCAGGTTGACATCTAATTTTGCATCTATAAAGATAAGAAATGTCAGAGCTCTTTCTGCACTCTCTGGTTGTGCATGGTATCATTCAATGCTTTTTCTACATATGAATGGAGGCATAAAACGCTGGGCAGAATGTCTCACCCAAAATGTATTATAAATTTAGGACGTTTGAAAGGAGCAAGAGGAGGCATGCTGAGTTTTCTCATTTTCATACATTGGGAGATAATTTTGAGATCTTTTGGTTAACAAAAACAAAAGTTGAGCCTTTTGTGTATCATGAACTCTAATCAGAATCAGCTGATTACACCCTATTTGGGGTTGCAGAAGTACGGACATGTGACTGTAAAAATGCACTTGCTGCTTTTTCTTTCCCTGTCACAAGCAGGGCCTGGTCTTTGAGGCTGTTGTTTTGAAAGCAAGAAAAGATGTAGTTGACTGTGTCCCAAATGTGAACCAGAGGGAAGATGCATGTAATACCAATCTGCCATGCTTCCTTTTTGGTTGGTCTGAACACTGTGCCTGAGGGGTGATGGGATCTAAACTGCAGTTTTCACAAAGCCTCTGAAATTTGACCTGGAAAGTGAGATAATCTCTTGATGGTTTGTCTCACTTGTGAATTAAACAGCATCCAAGAGAAGCTGTATTTATGCAACATCTCATTTGAAATGCATCTTCCTGTCCTGAAGTCTTGCTGGTGATTAAATTTGAGTGGGTAAGGACATGTTTTTACTGAATACATCCATCCAGTTAAGAAACGTAGCATAACCTTCCCTGACCCCCAGATACACAGACGTTAACATCAGGCTCCTTGGTGCTAACCAGGCAATTGCTTTACATTTCACTCCAGCCATGTTGAAACAAAGCCAGTCCTGGTATTCACACTGGAGAATATTGGCAAATTATACCATTTTGGTGCGTATTTTTCCTCCACCCACTAAAATAAATGAAACTAGCAAACCTGCTTCACTTTCTTCTCGCACAGCCTCTCCCTCTCGACTTCCCTGTGCATCTGCATATCTTTCCCTCCCCCATGTCTAAAGGTACCACTACCCTTCAGGGCACACATTGGGAATATATATTTTTTTCTTCATTACGTTTAAAAGCTACTACTTTAGCAAAAACAGCTTCTGAGCCGTTGGAACATGAGAACAGCTGTAGCAGTGAGATGAGAAATGGTCCTAATATAGAGAGATTTTGGGGGCTGCGTCGCTGAGTTGGAAATGCCATCCATAGAATATCCCCCTAGTGCTGAAACCCATTGAAATAGATTGGAATGACTTCTTGGATTCTTTATTATTTTTAATGACTTGTGTTATATCCAAAGGAAGTTGGAGAACGCTGTTCACTCCTGAACTTATCCGCAAATGCTGTTCTGTGCATTTGGTCCAGCTCTGCATGCAGAAGAGGAGATGGAAAGAAAGGGTATCTTTGTACTAGCAAGGGGAGTTGTTTTAAACTCTGTGTCTCCTCAGCAAATAATCTTTTTTTTGTTCTCTCCCAGCTCGGGGATTGGATCACATTGCTGAGAACATTCTGTCATACCTGGATGCCAAGTCATTGTGTGCTGCTGAGCTGGTGTGCAAGGAGTGGTACCGGGTGACATCAGATGGCATGCTGTGGAAGAAGCTCATCGAGAGAATGGTCAGGACAGATTCCCTGTGGAGGGGGTTGTCAGAGAGGAGAGGATGGTGAGGGAACTGCATCTTCACCTCTTTTGCCCCCATTCAGGACAGTAGGTGCTATGTGTTTCAAATGATGTTTGAAGAAGGTTATTTAGCACCCTGAAACATCATGTTGGTCCAAACCTGGAAGTTGCTTAAATCAAAATTTGGGGGTTGGGGAGTTGGGGCATTATTTGCCAATGCAGGCAATGTGAGGGCTTTTTCCTCACCTTCCTCATCTGATCATGCTCTTATCCTACTGTGACAAGTGAGATATACAGACTGAGATTTTTACACCCAGCTGTCATTTGGTTCAAATTAAGAAGCTGCGTATGCCCCAGGGGAACACTAAACTAGTCAGCAGTTCAACGCAGAAGAGCTTTTTTAGGGGTGGCAGTGGGGCAGCATGTGCTACGAATTAGTTGTTTCCTGATAGGTCTGTTTGTTTTCCTCAGCAGATTTTCACTATTAGATATCTGTTTAATTTTCAAACTGGAAGCTGAGGGTAGGTACCACGGAGAATAGGGGACTTTAGAAATGCAGATAGATTAGTTAATAATCATCTGGAATAGCCTTACTACAATGTGGGTCTCACTCAAGTTTGAAGCTGCTCTGTTAACATTTCATTAGAACTTTCCCTCTCAGGGGTATGTCCTTTAATACATAATTTTCTTTTCCAAGGGTGTCCCTAGGATGTTGGCAGAAAGGAAGCTCAGTATGAATATTTCATAAACAAGATAAAAGTGACAGCTCAGGCATTTTGGTTGCTATTAAAAAGAAAAAGATACAGAGTTGCAAACAAAGACTCCTGTTGTATGGTTAATTTTGTTATACTATTTGTCTCAGGAAGTAAAGGCGAGTAAATCAGGATTATGAAATATCTTTTAAAAATAAATACTATTTTGACCTGCTTCCAATAGTGTAATGTTTATGAAGAGTGTAAAATAAACACAAGCATGGCGGTGGTAACTTTTGCATTCCTTTTAATGCCTTGTTCTCTCCAGCACTTCTGTTTTTGCTCTGTATTGTTCAGGTCACAGTAAGTCCAAAGAGGACCTTGAGAGGTTATTTAGCCCCTCCTGTTTTCCAAAGGCAAAGCCAGGTTTCTCCTAAGTCATCCCAGATATTTGTCTAACTTGTTCTTAAAAGCTTCACTGATGGAGATTCCCCAGGCCTTGCCTGGGTAAGGAATTCCACTGTTTCACTAACTTTAGCATTAGAAAGATTTTTGTAAAATCTAGGCTGTCTTCCTACCTACAGTTTGGCATGTTATATTTATCCTACACAGGCACACAGGTCAGTTTCTCATTCTCCTTTTTACAGTTATGTTTTCCATGTTGGAAGATGATCGTGTTTCCTACATTTTGGATGCACTAACCAACCATAATCCTGTGTTGTCTTGCCCTCTTGTCAGTCTTAGTTTTCTCTATTTAGACCCTTCCCAATTACTCTCTTCCGTTCTTGGAGGACGATGTCATCAGCTGGGTGTCTTACTTCTGGCGAGGCATTGCCAGAGTTTAGTAGTGTGGGAAGCATTGCTTTGCCTGCCGTATGGAGATCACTCCATTTTGTGCTTTCCAGTAGAATATGCTTTTTTTTAACAGTGTTATACTGTTACAAAACTTAATTACGCTTTCTGTGGAAGTTCTACTTAACCATTGTTCCTCATCTTGCATGCTTATGTTGTTGTGGTGAACTTGACACTTGTCCTCATTGAATTAGATTCTATTTATTTTTTGGTATTTCTCCATTTTGTCAGGAGCATTATGAGTTTAATCTTGTCCTCCAAAGTGCTTGTAGCTTCTCCAAGCTTTAGTATCGTTGGCCAGGTAATAAATGCACTCCCTGTTCCATTCTTTGTCATTAATGAAAATGCTCAATAATGACATATCTAGGACAGACTCCATGCAAGATCCCAGTTGCCATCCTGTTTGACTGCACTGTCGGTAAACTGTGTGTCCACCCTTGAGCTCTTCCAAGATGCTACTTCTCTTGCTGAGTCATAAGAATAGTCCATGAGAAGAAGTTAGGTCAGTTTGACATGGTGTATTCTGGATTGATCAGAGTTGCCTACTGTTTGTCACCCTGTCATCTTCTAGGGGCTCATCTGATTGACTGTGTGCTCTATAACTGCTAAGCTGTCAAAGTTGAGTTGGACAGTCCACCATTTCCTTGGTGGACCTTCTTCCCTTTTTTTAAAATGCAAAAACTACATTTGGTTTTTTTCCTGTTCTGTGGAACTTTACCTGTTCTTTACATCTTGTCGGAGATCATAGCTAATAGTTCTCAAGTTGTTCTCCAGATTTTAGAAATAACATTAGCACTGATTACTAGTCATACAGACACATGAAATTTCTAATAAACAGTGACGAAATCTTGCTTCTTACCTCAAAAGACAGTCACACCCCGTTACTGCCCCTCTTCTTCAGGTTTACACTGTGTCTTGGAGGTTCCTTTGACACAACAGGAGCAAGTTGTGCCCTGTCTTTCAGATTGCCCTCTGATTAGCTCTAAAAGATACAACTGCGGGCATAGTGGGGTGGTTAAGAGAGGCAGACAGGAAATATTCACTGTAATTGCATCTCTGCCATATAGAGCTTTATAGCTTGTAATCAATGCTAATGCTGTGCTTGGCACAAGGAGGTGACTAGCTGGACAGTTCAGAATGATAGATGACTGGTGTTATTTGCTTACAGCTCCTCGCTTTGCACATGGGCTGCCTGATTTCAGCATTTGCAGCTCATGGTTTACAACAGAAACACCCAGTTCCACAGCATGGTAGCCCTCACTGGCAGCTTGCCAGGGAGTAGTAAGGGTTACACAGATTTAGAGAAATATAAAAGAGAAGCCCAAAATCTAGGCACGATGGCGTCCATCTGAATACTTGATTGAATTGGCCAGTCACCAAAACCTGCAAACAATAGTTCCTTTTAACCCAGAACCACAGCACAACAGCCACTGGGATGCCATGGAAATTCCAAGCAGTCCTTTATCTGAACTGTAAACAACTGACTTTACATGCAGCAAGGCAGGGCTTATAGGTAGCAACAAGATCAGCTAGTAAAGTTGGAAACGATAGACAGATTTTCAGGCATATAGGCTTGCGTACAGATTGTCGTAGACCTACCCAAAGTCTTCCAGGATGTGTCCTAGATATTCTGTGTATCTCCAAAGCATTTTTTGTCTCTCTGGGCCAATAATTTTGATTATATTGTATGCACTTCCAGACTAGGTCACAGTAAGTAGGCAACCATCTAGTTAGTGGTTTGACTGCATCCATGTGTCCCTTCTTCACATGTGGTTGTCTCCATATGAGTCACTACTGGTCACTCTATGTGAAGAGTCAGTTGGTTGCTCTGTCCGAACTGGAAAGCACCTTTCTCTCAAGTCGTACTTGAAGTACTTTAAGAATTATCAGAAGCTCTTTGCTTGAGCATTTGTTATTTTGTTTGTTCAGTCATATAGTTTGCTACCGCTTTATAACCTAAAAATTTCAGTTCATTGTTGTGATTTCCCTAGTTCAAGTACATCAGGGCAGCTAATGTACAGTCACTCAAATGAGTTTCAAGGTATACTGTATGGAAAGAACAAGACAGAAATGCGCAAGGAAGTATTGAACAATGAATTATGCCATAATGGAGCAAGGGAGGGAGAAGTGGAGAGCTGGCCCAGTGTAAACTCTGTGCCTCTGATGCCAGGATTACACTCGGAGGCATTTGTGCCTCTCTCCATTTTGTGAGGCATGTTGCCAGGCAGAACAGCAGTTAGTACGCCCATGGTGGGGTTTACTAGCTTCCACACCGTGTTTGGTGGCTTCTTAACTTCAGGATGAGGAATTAAGGTTTTTTACACAGCAGGTAGTGATTGCCTTTTACAGATTTTTTTTTGTAGCAAAAATCTAGCTTGGGATATGAGTATTCCAAATCAGTGTTGAAATGAGGGAGGCACCACAGATGAAGTGTTGCTTACCAAAATATAGTAGTCGCAGTAAAATGTCCGTGTACCAAAACTGATCCTGCTAATGCAGATAAAAGCTAGCCTTGAATGCATAGTAAGTTTGAGCGTTCCTTGGCTTCTTTCATTTTCTTTGTACACTTTATTTTAAAGGTGAGCTCTGATATGGGTATGTGTATTGTGGGCACGAGCAATTCTCGCCTCCTATTGAGTTGAATGGGCTCATGTCGATAGTGGGTAATATATTTTCCTTCCCTGAGTGACTAGGCACAGATTTTTTCCTGAATATTTCAGTGTCAAAATGCAACACTGACATGTTGCAGGGCAAACAAACGAACCACCCTGTCTTACTGGGTAAATTAAGTTTGTGTGAATTTCAACCTACTTGTAAAATGCCAGGAGGAACTTTTTCCAAAATACTGAAACATGATTTGTGTTCGATGGGAGTATTCTTTGTCTTCCAGGGGGCAATACCTATTTAAAAATAAACCTCCTGATGGGACTGCACCACCCAACTCCTTCTACAGAGCACTTTATCCCAAAATTATACAGGACATAGAGGTAAGAAACAGCTTCCAGATGTGGTGATGTTTGGTTGTGGGTTTTTTTTTTAAAACCCCTTGATGTATTCCTGATGCTGAAATTCTGAGAATATTTCATTCTAATGAAATCTTTCATTAAATCTGATGTGTCTGGAGTTTGTAGATCTGGGGTAGTTATGCAGTGTCCCAGGCTTCACTGCTCCTCTAGACAGAAGATGAGTTGGATTGTTCAGTGAGCTGTTTGCACATGGAGTCTCTACACCTTGGACGTCAGATGTCACGGCAGCACCATACCATCTTGATTTTTATCTGTTCCACTGTACTTTGCTCCACCCAATGTAGATGAGACCTAATAAGATGCTACAGAGAGATATCGAGAACTGAGCCAGGGAGAAAGTGCATTGCTAAAGACTGCAATCGTAAGACCCAGGGAAACAGGAAGCAACTGAGCATGGTTGCCTTGTATCTAGTGTGAGCAAAATGCTGTGTTCTGGTGGTTTCCTGATGGCAGAAGCGGTGCTCAGGGAGTGTTGTGACAAGTTTGTACAAACACTTAGCTTGAGCTTGACTGAGACTTTCTCTTCAGTTGTTTAGTTGTTGAGTCACAGGGGGTTAAAGGTTAGAGATAGAAAAAAGCTTTTAGGTCACTTCTCCCTCACCAGTCCAGATAACACAGATGAGTTTAGCCACGATATGTTTTCCAGGCTTTTGTCCATTTAATTGGTTTTATTACGTGTGTTACTTCTAGAAAGCAGTTATGTCATTGTATGGGCCTGATTGCAGGAAAAACCGTGAAGAAAAGTATCTGCTGTCTTCTCAAACAAACAAAAAAAGAGGCGATAGTTCTGTGCTTTATTTTACTTCTCTTTTGTCTCCTGTCTCTCCTCAAGACAATAGAGTCAAACTGGCGGTGTGGGAGGCACAGTTTACAGAGGATCCACTGCCGAAGTGAGACAAGCAAAGGGGTTTATTGTTTACAGTATGATGATCAGAAGATAGTAAGTGGCCTACGAGACAATACTATCAAGGTGAGAATGCTCCAGGATGGCATACTAATAACATGGAGTGCCTGTGCCATAAATAATAGTGTCCTAATTTCAGTGACACCTACCCAATCTCTTGTTAGTAACCTAGTCTTGTCCTTCCCCCACCTCACACTTGCACAGCATGTACACCTCTTTCATCTGGCAAGAGGGACCCTGTTTTCCTACAGACAGACTTGACTTGCAGAGTTTTTATCTGTCAGTAATTGCCAACTATGTAATTACTGTGCCCTGTACCCTGATGAGAAGGATAAAACCAATATTCATAGTAAGCCAGTAATATCAAAGATGTTAATGTTTTGCACCAAAAAACCTGTAGAAGACTCTACGGATGCCACTAAAGATGTTCTAACTGCACTATGGATTATGTGTTGTGGTAAAAAAAAAACAAACCAGTAAGTGCTGAAAGATGAAAAGTTTACTGACCTGTATGTTTGAATGTTTGCCGTCTTAGATCTGGGATAAGAATACATTGGAATGCAAGCGGATTCTCACCGGACACACGGGTTCTGTCCTGTGCCTCCAGTACGATGAACGAGTGATCATTACTGGATCTTCAGACTCAACAGTCAGGTGTGTGCTCGTGATTTGGAGCTTTCTGTTTGTCTCTGAGATTTTAACCTTGTGAGCTGCTGAAATTATCTTTTCTTAAATGTGTGCTGTTAGTCGGTTCTGTGAAGTAGTTCAGCATATTTGTTGAGGAGTGTACTGTCCTTGTTTATCAGATGTCCATGCAAATGGCTGTCAAGGAGAAATGAGAACCTAAGCAAAGGCCAGTCAAGGTCAAGATGACTTAGGAAGGCCATCTGGCATTTCACCAAGGTTTTGCATGTTTTGACACTCCCTGAGAATGTTTTAAATTCTCCCCAAGAATAACTTTTTAGAAGTTGGTTGAAGTTTTCAAAGCAAGTTTGAAGGTTTAGTCATCCATTGTCACTTAATTTTGGCAAAAGATGTATGACTAGATCTCCTGTGACTTTTAATTAAATTTCCGCATGATGTTTCTTTTCATTCAGTCTTTCTAATCTAGCTTCCCTTCCAGTCTCCAGGAAAAGGCTGCACACCTCAAGTCAACACTTGTGGTGCATGTTGTGCAGATGTGAAGTCCACTAGCATATTACAGGATCCCAGAGAGTGTAAGACTTGCAGTATAAATACAGACACATATGAGTTTGTGATTTGCAATATGAACTTGGATGTGAAGGAGCAAGTCTATCTTCTCCATGTTGTTATATATTCCCTTCTTGTCAGAGTACAAATAATACCCATGCAGTGAAGTTACAGACAACAAAAAGCTATGTCAGTGGCCTTTTCTGAAGCTATTAGCATGGGTTCCTATGGCTGCAAGCTCTTCACGGTTATCACTGTGCTTGCATGTAAACTACCACTGTTAAGCTAATAACCATTAAATTTAGTTCCTGACATGTGATGCATGCAGTCTTGTGACACTGCTAGATTTTGGGGTCCTATCATTAGTAGGAAACCAGAATTTCAGCAACACTGCCTGCCTGGAGACGGTGTGGGAACTGCGCTGTGCTAAACAGATCGCAAAAGGAGAGATTGATTTCTATAACGAGCGCTATCATCTTCCATATCAGGCCAGGCAGGCCAAATTGCAGACTGGCAACTTGCCCAGAAATACTTTGTTTCCCACTGTATCTATAAATGTTTGTGCAGACCCCAGAGGCACATAGGACGCATCACTTTTATCCTTGGGTCTCCTCAGGAAGAGGGGCTTCATCCAATAGACAGTACAGATGGGCTCTTAATGCTTCTGAGATCTCAGAGATGCACTTGTCCAAAGAAGTCAGTAGGTCTCCAGCTCCTGTTCAGTTTGGCAACCCTGTCTGCAAACTGCTCGTCTGTTAATGACTCAGGTCTTTAGTCTGTGGGTTTTTCTCCTTTGCATTTTGTAATTGGAATGTAGTTTTCTTTCTCATTTATAGTCCATAAGCTGATGCACTTCAGCCTTTATAAGTTAGAAAATAAGACATTAGAAGTCTTTCTCACATCTTGCCTTTTCTTACTGCTCACCTTATTGGCAGAGGAAAGTTTTAACTTCTGCAATGTCTGATGTGCCTGATAATACAGCCTTTTTCTCCTCTCACGTAGTGTATCTGGGGTACAGGTGTGATAGTGCCAAAAGAAATCTGTTTACGGAGGGTAAAAGAAGTTTACCAACAGAATAGCCCCAAAAAAACCCATTTTTAAGGCTTAAAATCTTCATTTCAAGTCCTAGAAGTTCTGTGTGAAGCTTTTGTCTAACTTTCATCTTAAATATCTTTCAGCTGAAACAGTTGGTTCCAGTAACATTGAATTGACATAAATGCTCTGTCTTAATTTAGATATTCGGCACATTCCTGGTATGTAGCTCTATACCAGATGCACTGCAGGGTAAAAGCAATTCATGGTGCAACTTGTGGCAATTACTTATATTTGTTGGAAAAGCATTATCTTGTCTTCTGCTTCTGTATAAATTATCCTTTGAGTTAGTCCTATGAGAGAGGTCAAAGATTAAACCTGTCACTGAACTTGCTTCTCTACGAGTCATGATTAAGCACTCATTGACTGGAAGTAGAGTGTATGGTAGGCTGACACAACCAGGAAACATCAGTCTTTAAGGCCATCAATCTCATACCTTTCCTCAGCACTAAATTCCCTTAATTAAAGAATGTTTTTTTCCTGGCTGGGTTATTTTTATGGTGTTAACTGCATTGCAGGGTTTTTGACTGCTGGACTGTATCACTGTAGGCATAATCAACAGGTTTATATAATACATTTTTTAATGAACTATTTAATAGATGTAGATATAACTTACGGTGTTTGCTTCTCTAATATTACTAGAGAGTCAATTACTTCTTCCTGTCCCTCTCTTGCTCTGCAGAAAATCCACTGTACAGTTTTTTAACTCTCTTTGATTTGAAATTTGAAACTGCAGGGTGTGGGATGTGAATGCAGGCGAGATGCTGAATACGCTGATTCACCACTGCGAAGCAGTACTGCACCTCCGCTTCAATAACGGCATGATGGTGACATGTTCCAAAGACCGTTCCATTGCTGTGTGGGACATGGCTTCACCAACAGACATCACTCTGAGGAGAGTGTTAGTAGGGCACCGAGCTGCCGTCAATGTAGTGGACTTTGATGACAAGTACATTGTATCAGCATCAGGTGACAGAACTATAAAGGTGAGGTGTTTCAGAGGCTTTTTATTTGCAGCACTGGGGTATTTAATAACCAAGAACAGTGACCAGACAGGGAAGATGGTCCTTGGCGGTTATTACACAGAACTTGCTTTAGAAGCAGTGTTCCTCCTGCTGCTCATTTCCAGTCATCCCTCCTCTATTGAGCTTGCACAACTTGTTTACAGAGCTGTATGGCAAATCAGATCTGGGTACAGATGCAGTTGAAAAGGGATGACCACTTCTATAATCTGTTTCAGCATCAGTCATTCGAACAGTTGTCAGAGGGCAGCATGGGGGCAGAAGCAAAGGTGAGTGGATAGGGGTTACCTAAGTGTTACTGCTATGATCTCGATCTGCAGCATTAAAACTGAGGAAATTGACATCCTGTGTAGACTAAATCATAGCCTGAGAGTGCTAAAGCCTGATTTTGGAAGCTAATTCTCACATGGTGTGGCAAAAACCTTCTGTGTACAGTCACCCAAGCTGCTAACAGTTGCAGACTATAGTCACAAGTCATCAGAGGGGTAATTTTCCCAGTCTTAATGGTAGCATCTTCAATTAAGAGCATTCTGGATGCACCTATATATCGTACAGATACCAGCCTTTGTTAGTCTCTTAATAATTTTGTTTCTGTGTGGTTCCCTCCCTGCTTCCTGTCACAGGTATGGAACACTAGTACCTGCGAATTTGTGCGCACCTTAAATGGCCACAAACGAGGCATTGCATGTCTGCAGTACAGAGACAGGCTAGTAGTGAGCGGCTCTTCAGATAATACTATCAGGTGAGACACACACTCCCTGTTGCAGAGTTCTGTGCAAGCACGTTGTCACTGATTCCCTGGGATGTGTAGAGGTTAGGCAGCTGAAGTGCTCTCTACCATTGTCATCTTTGAAATATGCTTTCTTTGGTCTAGAACATTGGGAGCTATTGGAAAGAGATATTAGAAGCCTGTTTTACTGTGTTGTCTTTCATCCTGTATATCTCAAGAGTCCCATACTAATCAACAAGTTGCATTGCTCTGACAATTCTCTTGTATGAAAGAGCTGGCAAGTACCACTTTCCGTGATGTCCTCTTGTGATATTTTAATTGGGCTATGTGTCTAGTTAAAGGGGTCAGATTTGCAGTAAGAGGCATTTAATCCTCTGCAGAAATCCTCCTGGGCTCTCGCCAAACTCTTCTTGTGGTACTTGGCACCTGGCTGAGTTTGGAACAGCTGGTTTAGAGCATGAAGTTCAGTTTGCTGCCTTTTGCACTTCTCCAGCTGCCCTGGTTGCAATCTGAGATTTAACTCCTTCTGGTATCATGAGCCAGGATTTCTCCCTGTATCCTGCAGCTGATGGCAGAGGGATGTCCCACTAATCTCAGGGTATTCGAAGCAAGCTTGAATAGTAGTATAAGTGACATGGGGAAGTAACTCTGTCATGCAAACAGGAGTAAGAGCAACTTCCCTTTTGTCTTTGTCTTTGCTTTAAATAATTATCTGCCTTCTGATAAAACTTGAAAGCTGGGCAATGTAAGCGGAAACCCTTCACTCTGTGTGTCAGTAATAATTTCTCCTCAGTGAGAATGATTCATGCTACTGTTTGCCTGTGGACTTTGATTGCAACACACTGCCTAGCCCTGCTTTGCATTCTGTAGGAAAATGGTGATCCATTGGTTGACATCACCAGGTCATTGTGCCAGATTTTAGTATAGGGCTGTTGGAGAGCATGACCAAGAGAGCTGGCACTTCTCACGCTTAATCAGGGGGAAAAGTATTGTAGGCATTGTGTACAAGTAGCACCACTTACACATCGTGTGAACTCCTGCACTTCAAATTGGAAAAAAATAACCCTCTGCAATTGTACTATGAAACTTGATGTCAGGATTAGAGTGAGAAATAGTTAAATATTACAACAGTAGGAAAAGATCTAAAATATGACTTGGAATGCTAATAAAAATAAATGTCAAGATAGTGGTAACGCTAAAGAGGAATACGGTTACTTTTATGCTTACATTGAACAAAATCTTTAGTTGACAGATTAATTGTGCTAGAATTTCAGGAATGTTGGCAATGAATCTTAATGGAAGTCATCAGCTGTGTAGGCAAGGCACAAGACTTACCTGGTCACATCATTTTCTCCCAGCCATTAGCAGAGGGCTAGCAAGCGCACATTGCCAGCTCATGTTGAGCTTCTTGTCAACCAATAGCCCAAGTCCATCTCAGGGCTGCTCTCAGTACAGAATTTGAAGTTCATTGTTCCTCAGTTGCAGGGAAACTTTTTTCCAAAAGATGACTCTCTGATGTTGAAACTGCAAACGTATGGACGTGTGAAGTAGCTGAGAATTCAGTGTCTTTCTTCTGAAGGGAGACTCCATGTATAAAAATTATTTAGATTTTGTTTTACGCCAGAAATTTCACCAGTGTAAGAGAACACAGCTACATAGACATCGCTATCATTGTGCCGATTTCCATCTGGAAGAAACTGGTCCATCAAGTTTAATCCAATCACTTCAGTATCTTAGCCTCTAGGGCCAAAGTTCTTAATTGCTACAGACAGGCATAATATAGAAAAAAAGGTAATTTAGAGCAAGAAAATAGAATGAGACTACATCATCTTGGATTAATTTTTAAACGAGTAGTTCATTTGCATGTATGTATTCAACCTCCAGTGTGTGCGCACATGGGGATCTGATACTGGACTGTTCAGACAACAGCATTCTCTCTAGGAGATGGGAATTCAGGCTCACCTGCCTTCTGTACATCTTCCAGCTCTGCCAGGACTTCAAGTGAATTAAAGGCTGAGATAATTGCAGACCTCCCTCTGCTTCCAGAAGTTCTCCTGAAGCTCTGGGAGGGAAGAGTGGTAGTGTTTTTGACTGTGTACCCTTTGTAGTGGATTCTTTTAGTTTGTTCTCACACCTTAAGGGTAGTTCTCTTACTATTTGGTCCTTTGACTATTTAAAGAAGTAGAAATTTGAGAAAACTGTCAAATCTGGGAGGTACCCTTGGCACCAATGCTGTTAGGAGATTCTGCTCTTACATAGCAGTTATCCTTTTTGTACATGAAGGTCCATTCCCCACATGGGCAAGGATGTGGTCATCTCTTCTAATCCCATTCAGATTCAGGTAAAACCTTGAACTGGGACTTGAAAATACAGGCCTGATTCAGTGTGATGCAGCCTCCCAGAGCTGATGGCAAGGAATGGAAACACATGGCACGGAAGTTCCTGGCACAAGATTGCTCTTCAAACCTTTCTGCACCAGTTCATTTCTGGCATTGTCCATCCTGTTTACAGTGCTTGAGAGACTTAATGCTCTCTGGTCAGCCAGAGTGCCTTTGGCTGGCCTTTGCCATGGAATTGCTTGCTCTGACCTTGACTGGTGTGCTAGTACTCAAGTGAAAATTATTGGGATCTTCACAGATTCCTGAAAGATCAGCTTCACAGATCGAAGAATCACCTTGTGGTCCTTGTTGGCCTCAAACGTGTGCATAGACAAATTGTTTCCCAGTTCTACAGTGACAAAAGAGTTCTGTTCATTCCTCTGTTGTCCAAAGTGAGAGCAGCTTGTCGTGGCAGGACAGCTGTAATCATTACCCACCAACCTTGGGCACACATCCACTGGATCTGGATTATTCCCTGGGAGATCTCAGGAGTGAAATATGTGGGGATAGTTGATCTCTTTCTTTGTCTGTCTCTCAAGGAAAAGTGACCTGACCCCTCAGCAGCTGTGCTGCTTTGAGATGTGTCACCCAGAGAAATTCCACAAACTACCCATATTTCTCACTAGTGTGACATTCATGTCAGTCGGAACACTAATTGAATATGAACATTTAAGAGCATTTGTGACTGCTTTCTTTCAGCTGTGTGTCAGGGAGCTGCAGCAGATACTGCTATTAAAAGATTCCTGTATGAGCAGAGCATGTCTCAGCCAGAGGTAGAACACCTCTAGACAATACATGTCAAAGCATTTCAGTTCTTGTAGGCAAATAATCTTTCTTTATCCACGGTAATGTTAACTGTTAATTCTTGTACATTTCACCACTGTATTGCTGTCTTAATTTGTCTGATGGTAGTCTCCAAATCAGAAATAGGCATGTAGGGGTACAGAAAGGGGCGCGTGCCCTGTGAAGGTGATCTTGCTAATTGGAACAAGCTGACAAGGGGATTGGTAAGTCTCCCTCTCTTAAACTCTTAAAATCAAGGCAGGATACTTTTACGAAAAATTAGCTTCAGTAAAATAAAGTTATGAAGCTCAATGTGAAGATAAGTGGGAGATATCCTGTGTTACTAGAGCAGTAGATACTAGACACAACTGGTCTTCAAATTTTTGGATCTCTGACTAATTTCCCATGTGATACTGTAACATAACAGGGTCATGTTGAAAAGCATGCGTCTGCTTAACAGCAGGAAAAGATCTGATGAATGTAGTTTGTTTCTTCTTTGTTATTTCATCACAATCTTTATTTCCGAGTTTCCGTTAACTACAAGCAAAGACCAAATGTTTTGTTGCAATGATCAGATATTCAAAAATTCTTAGTGCTTCTTTGTACTCTCTTCCAGGCTGTGGGATATCGAGTGTGGGGCATGTTTACGAGTACTCGAGGGCCATGAAGAGTTGGTGAGATGCATACGCTTTGATAACAAGAGGATAGTCAGTGGGGCATATGATGGGTGAGACTGTCAGTGCAGTCAATACCTTGCATCCTCCTGTCTGTCTCAGTGTCTCACATCCCACTTTTCTGTATCTTCTTATAAATATTAGACTCCTTGTCTGTCCCAAGAGGACCTTTTCATGGCCAGTAAATCAGGACCATGCTACAAAGTGTACCTTTTTTCCTTCTTTTGAAATAAGTCAGTGTGATTTGTTGTGTATGGTCTAGTTCTTTAGCTTGTGAGAATATCTGACCGATTCAACCTGAAATGTCTTGTAGCTGAACCACCGGTAAGAACGGTCTTTCCCATCTGTGGTTATGTCTTCTGGACCATTTGCCATTACAGACTAGGTGTCTGTACTCCCACGTGTTTCTGTTAGTTATTTCCACCTGCTTTTTATGTGATTTAGTTTGTTGGCAGCATATTTTTTCTCCCATTAAACTCTATAAGCTTTACCAAGGGGAAATGCAAGAACCAGGTGTTAGGAGCAGAAGGATTGCTGTAATTTTCCTTGAACTGGTGTATTAGCTAAACTGTACTAACAGTTAATTTTTTTCTGTGAGCGCTTACTCTTTTCTCTATAACAGAGCCATGATGTTTGTCTATTTTTTCACTGCTAGGAAAATTAAAGTATGGGATCTTGTGGCTGCTTTGGACCCCCGTGCTCCGGCAGGGACTCTCTGCTTGCGAACCCTCGTGGTAAGAGCTTTTGGTAGCAGTGGTGGAGGGGGCAGACAAGTGTGCTTGATCAGGGCTATCTTGAGCCATGAAGACTCAAGTCAGCTTAGCCCTGGTCTGCAGGATCTAGAAATAATTTCTAGAGGTCTGGCTTTTTTGGGTGTCCAACATTTTTTTTAATGTTGCAATCTATAGAGCATTAAAAGTTAGAACCTGTGGAGTTTTCACTCACTTTTTAAACAGTTTTGTTCTGTGATTTGAAGTTAATAACTAAATCCATTTCTGAGACTTGTCCTTCTTGGAATCCATGTGCCAGTGGGTTTACTTTAACCTGATGATGTAGTAGGAAGTTGTCTGAATTGTTGACCTGAAATTTCTTAAAGAAAAGCAGTACATTCCAAATTTTAGGAACAAGAACAAAAAAACCCTTGAATTTGCTTTTAAATGGCTTTCAGGTGTTTAAGGAAAAAGCAGGTGGGGACCGGAACAGACACTGAAATTTCCTCATCCTTAAACAGCAGCTGCTACTTTCATGCTGTCTGTTGGTATTTAGTGCAGGTCTGATGATGGTGTGGTTAAAGTATCATTGTGTGAGTGTTAACAACATTCACAGTTGTTCTTGACAGTGGCTCTGCACTGGTCTCACAATAATGTGGGAAAGTTTTGAGAAAAATGCCAGTACAGCCAAAGCTATGGAATGGTTCCTATAAGCATTCCTCCATCATATTCACCCCCAAAAAGTTGCATTGTTGCTGGGAATAAAGGAAGATTTCAATCCAGTACCAAATTCTCATTGAAAAAGAAGTACTAAATGTATTTATTTTTTATCTAAAAAGTGTTTGGACAGTGTTTTGGTTGGTATGCGTTAGACCTTTTCCTGCTGTAGCATGTGACTGTAGTCTGTGCTCTAAACCAAGATCATACTGAGGCTATCTGATTCTCTAAAAGTGTGGTTACCTCTCACCAGCTGAGCTGTGCTAGCTGACCTTCTGTGCAGTCATCGACCACCTGAATTGCTGCTGTTGCTGTAGATTTCGCTAAAGTATTTCACTTCACATTTGGTGCAGGCTGTGAGGGTTACTGTGACTCAGCTGACAGGCAGTAGATCATTAAGCCATGCTAACTCTTTTCCAATCATGTATTTGGACCAATAGCTGCAGAGTAAGAGTCTGTGAGAACCTTGGATGCCTGCAGGTACTATGTTGAAAAACCTTCTTGTTAGCCAAATAGAACTGCTGATAGTTTCATGGCTGAAATCTAGAAAAACTCTTTGTCATCGGCCACCTGGTTCCAAACTGTGGAACAGCTCTGTGCCCATGAGCACGTATCCTGAGAGTCTAAGACCAGCTTGGTGTTAGTAGTGTTCCTGCTCCAGCCTGAGACAAATATGTGCCTAGTAACCTGTAGACTTAATTTAACTGGTGTGATTTCCTCTGCATTTTCCAGCAGTGGACAACCAAAGTGCCCCATCTAATTATATTATAAATCAGAAGTGGTGGGATGGAAACACTGTAGGAATCTCAACACATGGATACTCATAAATCCCCGTTTGATGGCGATGGAGGGGGCCAAAGGGGGAGCACAGGGGAAGCTGTTGTAGTGCTTTTAGGACTTCTCATGTTTATGACAACAGGGCGTCCTTATACCCGCTTACCCATGGTTTGGTTTTTTTTTCTCTTCCGTCGGCCTCCAAAATTAAACCTGGCTGCACAATGAACATCGTGAGTCTCCTGCTGCTCGTGTTCAATTTTCAAACAGTAGGAGGAAAGTGCATGGATAACAAATACTCGCTGCATGCCAGGTCCCTTCCAGTTTTGTCTTCCGTTAGCTGGAACGGCAGCCACATGAATTTGACAGAAGCTTTCCAGGCACAGAATAAACGCACAGTTCAGCTTTCCTTACAAGCTAAAAAGTCCAGGTCCTTGTGGCCTCAACTTAGCGTGTGCATTCTACTTATTGCCACTGCAACAGCAAAGGGCAGGCGCTGTGTAGAACTTCTAGGGCAACCTTACTTAGCTCACAGTGACTGAGAGAAAAAAGGGAGTTCTGGAAACAGTTTTTGGATGTACATCTCGGTGTCTCTGTGGGCAATCCCTCAGTGAATCTGACTGTTGTAGTGATGTTTTTTAGCAAGAACTTCTTTACTTCACTGCTACAACACAGACTCTGGAAAAACATTTCTTTTTGGAATAGGTGGGAAGACAGAAACCCATAAGGTGTTTTTAAGACAAATTCAAGTTACAGTTAGAAGACCAGAAGGGTTCCAACGATTAGACTTTTTAAAAAATTTATCTTAAAGATAGAATCTGACTTTTGTTTGTATGTGTGTATTTTCAGTTAATTTTAATTTAAAGATTCAGAGATTCACTTTAAAGCAGCTGTTGTGCTTTGCAAACTGAGCTGTATTTTTGTGCCATAAGACAGAGGCTTCCTGTTTAGTAGCTACAATTCTCTTTCATCTAAATGTTTGAGAAACCTGTATTTTCAGTATTCAGGTATTTTAAGACATGGTTTTTCTCTACCTAAGCTCCTTACAACTTGAGCACTAAAGAGAATATATATTAATGGAAGCGATAGGACTTGCCCTAGTTGCATGGTTTCTGTTCCCTTCTGACTGAGGAGGAGGCTGCTGCTCTTGCAGCAGTGTAAGCACCAAGAAAAAATAGCCAACACAAAAGGGAAAGCACAGTGGATTTGCTCTGTGATAGCCAGGATCTTGCCATTACCTCCTGTTAATTATAGTCTGAACTCTTGCCAAATCGTCATGCCATTTCCACTCAGCCTCAGAGCAGAATGCAAACTGCCTATAAAGAATGCCCTTTCTAGTTCATATTTTTAGAACTGCTTAAAAGGAATTATTACTGTGTCACTGGACTTTAGCACGGGCTTCTTAGTGTGCTCCAGTATTAACCTCTTTCCTCTTCAGCAGTGGCAATGGTGCCAAGTCTTGAATGCTAAGTTCTCACCTGTCACCCTGTAACCTACTGCATCTGGGAATGCTCTGATTTCCGGAAAGAGTTTTGCCATGGAACAAGGAAGGCAGTGCTCCTGTCAGCCTCACCAGACTGAATTAAGTGGTGGAGGGAGCTTGGTTTGTTATGCAGAGTGTGTGTCCAGTATTGGGATTTAAGGAGTAACAGGATAACTGTAATGTAAACTTCCTGCAAGCCAAGCACCCAGATATGGCAAACCCTTTTCACTGAAAGAGGGCTTAATTTATGCTATGTGATGGCAATGCACAGTGTGTCATGTGGAGTTTACTCAGAAATCAGTGTAACACTAGAATTCAAACCCGAGTTCATCTTCCCTGTTCCATCCCAGGTGCCAGCAAGATCGTGAAGTAACATGCTGTGTCTCCTCCTTGCGTTTAGGAGCATTCTGGAAGAGTCTTTCGACTTCAGTTTGACGAGTTCCAGATCGTCAGCAGCTCACATGATGACACCATCCTCATCTGGGATTTTCTGAATGACCCAGCTGCGCAAGCAGAATCTACTCGTTCCCCGTCCAGAACGTACACCTACATCTCAAGATAAATAACACTACATTGTACCTCACACTTGCACAGGTAAAAGAAAATTTTAAAAATAAAATGACGCTCAAAGGTGATGCTGATGTAGTGTGAGCATGCTGCTTGAATAACTAGCTGGGTCTGTCAATATTTCTCATCTTGGTTGAACAGTAATTACAGTGTCCTGTAAAAGAACAGGAATGGTTTTGATACCTTAGAATAGGGACTTTATTTTAGGATTTGTGGCATGTGGTGCCTGTGAGTTCCACTCAAGAACTCCTCCTCCTCTGTCCATCATCATCAATAATTAAATCAGCTATCACTGCTGTCCAGAAGGAAGAAGGTTTTCTGCAGAGCGAGTAGAGCAGCTGCTGCCTAACAAGGGGATGCAGATGGCCTGACCCTGGGCAGTTGTCACCAGGCAGGAGGGTTTTGCCAAGAAGTGTCAGCTTTATTCCCTCCCTCTGAAGTGGTGACCATTCTTCTCACTCTGCAGCAAGCTGATTCAAGAGAACAGTTTGGCTAGGGAAGAAGGCACTGAGGCACAAGCCCAGGCGAATTTAATCGAGATGCATTAATGTGCAAAATCATTTACTGATAGGGCCTAGCTCTCATTCTGTGTAGCATAGCACGGGTGTTAAATTGTTCGTGTTGGAGCCTGGCTGGTTTGCTTGTCACCTTACCCTTTTCTCTTGGCCAGCACAGCGTGGGGAGGACTTAATGTTTTGCGTATTTGGGTCAGTTGTAGAGTGGATTTGATGTATATGAGTGGAGTGGGATAGGATGATTGCCCATTTTGGTGGGTACATGCACAATTACTGTTAGTAACTTGAGAAAAATAGCAGAAGAGCAGACAGGCTCCTGCAAGGGGATGTCCACAGTGACGTTTTCCCATGAAAATGCTCTGTCATGGGGCATATCCTGTCTGTTTGATTGGTAAATGTACAGTGATGCTCCAGAACTGTCAGATCAGCTGTCTTGATTTTCTCAAACATTCTGGTCAATCAGATGTTCTTTTAAATCATTAAAAGATTATAGTATGAATGGGGTTTGTTTGGTTTCTTCTGTTTTTTTTGTTCCCAGGACTCATTTAAGCTGCAGTATTTAAATTATCTGCCAATGCCAGGACAAAAGAACTATCCACGTAACCAATACTTGCTGAAGAGAGAGGCTCTCAGACTTGTTTCTGGAACAAAGTTGGCATGCGGTTGATCTCAGACAGGGTCTACGCGGCTGACTGCTAAAGTGCTGCTATATCAGAAGATGACTTTTATCTTTCATGAACAGTTAACATTTTTAAACCTCCCATCCCTTTCCTCCCTCGTCCCCTTCTTCCTGTTCACTTCTTGTCCCTTTACCCTGTTTGGTTGCCCTCCAAACCCAGTCACAGATGTCCTATGAATATATTTAAGATGTTGCCAGAATGTGTTGCTTTGCTGTTAAGCAGAAGACTTATAGCCACAGTGCATCCTGCTGATAGAGTCACTTCAGGGTGGGTGGGAAGGTGGGTGAGCAGGAGGCTGCTACTCAGACTGAAATCAATATCCATTGCTAGCCCTTTGCAAAAGCATTCAGCTCTGAAGAGCGACAGAAACACTTGTAACAGTCAGACCAGCCCACCAGCCCTGACCTCCCTGCAGCTTTTGGCTGTTCTGGCTGCAGACCTATTTTTTGTGGAGAAAGGACCCTTGAAATTTGACTGTTATGAGCCAAATCCATCTCTTTCCTCTCCTGCCTGCTATGCTAACCCTTTGGAAACTGGATGTGTATTGTAGTCTCCCTTAACATCTGCTTGGCTGGGGAATGCCAGTCAATGAAAAGTTAAACTCTCTTCTGCCAAAGTCCCAAGCATGATGAACTGGGGCTGAGATCCCATCCACCCTCACCCAGGGTGAAATGTTGGCCCAGGGCAGTATTTCACTAGCAAAGGGGATCGTCTGTACCATCTTCCTCCTGATGTTCTCCCTGAAGACAGTGTGTTGCTGATGGCTTATGAATCATTCTGTAAATTGGAGGAAGTTTGAGCCTGGGGTGCAGAGGAAAGATGGACATTGCTCCTTTCCTTCCATTCTGCCTCCCCTCAGAGAGGCTGTAGCTGGGTGCTGGAAGAGAGAGCTGCTTAAAACCTTGTGGAGCTCTCAAGATTGAACCAACCTAGAGTGGAGACACTACACAAACATGGCCATTGTCTGGCCATGACAATAAGGCTTCGCTCACATGAATGAGCAAATGCACAGTCCCGTGGTGGTGACAGATGGGTAAAATGAGTATGGCCACGAGTACAGTCAGTACAGTTAGCAGTGGCTCCAGGCCAGTTCTGCAGCATTTCTGGGGCTGGCCTTGCTAGAAAGCCTTTGGAAGGAGAAGGAGAGCCTTTGGTGTGCTTCTCTAACCTACATGCATGCTGCATTTCAGTTTAGGGACACAGGCTGATTAGTCCCTTTGCTGATAGCTGAGCTGGATCTTTGCTTTCTAGCTGAGACTTTTGCAAATTGCCATTGTTTAGAAGATAAAAATAGCCCTAAAGAGGAGAGACATGAAAAACAATTCTGCATGTCTCTGAACTAAACAGAGAAGTCTGGGGGAAAACAGCTCTTTTTGCAGAGCTGGCAGGAATTGCAGCAGGCCTGCATTTAGATCAGGAAAGACTGCGTCAATCAGTCCCTGATCATTCCAGGTTTGGGCCCAGATCTTCCACTGTAGGTCTTGAAAAACCCCTACTGCTTTCGTTCTCCAGTCCCATGGTAAGAAGTAGGGATCCTTCGTCTCTGGGCTGGAGAGTTTTTAAACAGGCTTTGTTAACACCCTCTAAAGTTAGAACTTGGCAGATGGGGAAATTTTTTTAAGCTATTCTCATCAGCTTCTCTTTGCTAGGGAAGCAGTTGGTTGTTTCTAATTGCTTGGGATGCTCTTTTTCCACCAAGGAAATTTTGCAAGGAGCCAAAGAGCAGTCCAGAGAGCTTAATTCATTTTGGTGACAGCTAAGACAGACAAGAAGGCAATGGAGTTATGGAGGAAGGGAAAGTTGGTGCTTGGGGAGTACCTAGTGCAGTTTCTGAAGCGCACGGGCAGCAGTGTTGAGTGCTTTGCTCCCTGTATTTTCACTGAGCGTAGAGACTACATCAGTTCTAAAGAGCGTCTCAGAGCGTGTGGTGACACTCCTGTTTTCTATCTGAACTATTACTTTGAAAGAGTCAAACAGGTTAATAACTTGACTCTGTTCAGGTGACACTGGCAGTGTGACTTATCCTCTGCAGAGTCTTAAAAGTTCTGAGTCACAATGAGAAGTTCATCGACAACTAATTTTGGCACTACTTTTAAGTCTAGGAAGGCTGTTTTGGATTTCAGGCAACTCTTCATATCAGGCATACTGCAGTCCCAAAGCCAAAATGGCAAGGGAGCAGAGAGAATCAAAGTTTACATCCCAAACTTTGCTGAGTTGAAGTTCTGAGTTTTAATGTTATTTGAACATTGTTCCTCTAAGTTCAGTTATTACAAGGTCTGCAGCATGGTTGCATATCAGCAGGGTTTTATATGACCTTGGCTGCAGATTTAATAGTTTTTTTCCTCAGTTTGGTCATCCTCTTCTTTTACATTTAGGTTATTGTAGAAAACAATGATATGTTACTCCAGCCTCTGAAGGCTGCAGAACTTCCTAATATTTTAATTGCATCTTTGTGGCCAGCACCTACAAGGATGCATTTTATTTTGCTAGTTGAGAGAATTTGCAAGAACTGGAAGACTGGCTGGCCAAACACAGAGACAACACAATTGCAGATTTTCTTTGGTTGTCATAGCCCTGCTGCTCCATGCTGCTATTCTGTAACTTCTAAGCACTGTTGGGTCTTCAAGTGGTACCATAGTTTGAACTCTGCTGTATAGAGCTGTTTAAGGTACATTTAGTGAGCAACAGCTGCAATCCGTTTTCACCAGACTGTAAGAATGGTGTCTTACCCTCAAGAAGGGACTGTGTCTGGGTCCTTCATACAGAACCGCAGAAGGGCGAGGATTCCTACCCCACTCCCGAAGTTGTACAAATTTTCTGGTAGCTAAGAAGGAAACTGAAGTTAACTGATCTAACTTGAACTTGAAACTGCGACAGCCTGACATTTGGGGGTGTTTATTGTGCACCCAGGGAGGAGCAATCTGGTAAGTAGACCTCCCAATGTCAGACGAAAGTGGCTTTTTCAAACTTCCCCCCTCCCTTAGGATGTGTATGCATGTGTGTGTGAGTGTGCAAGAGTGCATGTGAGAGAGAGGATTCAGCATGAACTGGATGGATAATCCCTCGGCCAGATTGGAGTAATTGCGGAGTTTATAATGAAAAGACCTAGAATGTGCCTGCTGAAAGGAGATGAAAAAGGGCTGGAAGTGTCTGTGGGCTTTAAGTGTTGCACATCACTTTGAAATGAAATGAAATACCTCTGCTGCGTAGAGATCGGCACTTGTCCTACAAGTAGGAAGCTCACACTAGCCTTCCCACTTGGACTATGGGATGGAAAGTACTGGAGGTATGGGACATTCAGAGCAGGACAATCCGTTATGGCCACACCATCTCCTGCTTGTGACTCCTTTGCAATAGGGCACAGTTTTGCTGCAAATATTTCTCATCCTCAGATGAGATACAGCTTGTTTTAAAATATGCAAATAGAAAATGGCATGAAGGAATTTGCAGCGAAAAAACTGCTGCAGCTGTCTCCTCTGGAGCAGCTCCCTCTGCTCCCCATTAACATTCAGGGACAGACACATCCCTGTTGGCACGGAAGGATTCAGGTGACAAGTTGAGAAGTCTGTGATCATGGGAAAGATTGAAATGTTTTACTCTTGTTTCTAAACTGGAAGCTGACTTGGACCACCATGCTCTACCTACCCGCCACCTGCTCCTGCTCCAAAGGATCCTTTTTTCATTTTCTTAATTTTTTTTTGAACACTGAAAAAGCTGGAGAGTATCATGTACATTTCTCTGCTCCCAGGTATGTGTTTCATGCTCCTGCCACATGTTCCTTTCTCAGTCTGAGCAGAGCTCCAGGCTTGGTTCTGAGTTTTTTGGCATCCTGGCTCTGATGGGAAGCACATCCCCAGG